CTGCCCTCGCCCGCAGGTGCTGGCAGAGAAGCGCAGCCTTGGCAGCAGGGATGGCCCCCCGCACCTGGTGGTTGTGGTGCTGCTGCACAGCCGGGCTGCAGTGCAGGACTCGCTGCGGCTGCTGCAGAGCCTCAGCTCGGCCATTGTCCGTGCAGATGAGGGTGGAGCTGGTGGCTTTGCTCTGCTCTGCCCACAGCTCAAGCAGCGCTGGCACTTTGTCACAGCCCAGGCAGGTGAGGAGGCACTGCTGTTGCTTGGGTTCTTGGTTCTGGTGCCTCTGGCAGCCCCACTAATGGAGGTGTTTTGGGTGCAGGGGATCTTCACGCGGTTTTAGACCTTGCCAAGGTTGCTGATTCCCTGCTGTTCATCCTGGATCCTGTGGATGGATGGGACAGTGCAGGGGAACATTGCCTCTCCTGCCTCTTTGCACAGGGGCTCCCCAGTTATGGTGAGAAATGTTTTGGGTTTCTGGGGGTGCTTAATATGGGGAATGAGTGTCACAGTAATTAAATTTCAAGGCTCTGTCACCTTCAGTGAAAATAATTTTTTTCTTATATTGAGGTGGAAGTTCTTTCATTTCAGTTTATGGCTGTTGCTCTTTGTTCTGCTGGGCACCACTAAAACCAAACTCCCTTTGTACCTGTGGTGCAAATCTGGCCATTTGGGCTGCTGACATCCAAGTGTTTGCCTGTGTTTGGTAAAAAGAACATCAGGAGTTTTAGGATCTGATGGGAGCTCTGTTCTTTGCTCGGCAGCTCTGGCTGTCCCGGGAGGCACTGACCTGCCCCCTAAGAAGAGGATAGATGCCAGGAAGAAACTCTCCAAATCCATTGAGAAGCGTTTCCCCGAGGCCAAGCTGTTCCCACTGAACACGGAGCAGGAATCCTCGCTGCTCCTGAGGCACCTCAGCTCCCAGAAGCAGAGGCACTTGGCTTTCCGGGACCGCCGCGCTCACCTGCTGGCCCGTGCTGCTGAGTTTGTGCCCAGCCAGGACAGCGACCTGCTGGGCACCCTGAAGGTGTCCGGCTTTGTCCGGGGACAGACCCTCAACGTGAACAGCCTGGTGCACATCGTGGGGCATGGGGACTTCCAGCTGAGCCAGGTGGATGCTCCCCCTGACCCGCTCTCTTTGAACCCACGGGTGGTTAAAGGACAGAAGAGGAGCCAGGACATGGAGGTTCAGGTGTGTGGGGTGAGAGCTTTGCCAGTCCTCTTAGAACATAAGTTTTCTAAACTTTCATTGGGGAAAATACAGCTGGGGGTATGTGGGTGAGGAGAGGGGAAGGAGAGTTCTATCTGTGTATTTCTGCTGCTGGGCTGAGGTTTTGTGCCTGCAGTGTGTAATGAGGGTTATGTCATGACATCATGAAGGGAGTTTCACCTGGGACTGACTGCAAGCTTCAGTTAGGTGTGTTCAGATCTAGGAACTCTGCTCTTCCCCTTCAGGATGACTCTGGAAATGGTGCTGTTGAGATGGAGGAGGATGTCAAGGTGCTGATGAAGGCAGATCCAAGCAAGCAGGAGTCTCTACAGTCAGAAGTGGTTCCTGATCCCATGGAAGGGGAGCAGACGTGGCCCACTGAAGAAGAACTGCAGGAAGCAGAGGGTGAGCAGAAGCAATAGTTCTGTATCTCTTCCGTGTCCTTCTTAGGAGGGTTGTTAGAAACCTCTGTCACCAGGGTGGCTGTGAAGAACCATCTTAGTTGGGATGGCTTCCATCCCCAGTCCCATCAGGTTGTGTGGTTTACCTGGCAAGTTAGTAGGTTTTGGCTGTCCTGACAAATTCTGTGCTGGGAAAATGGCAATTCTAGTCTAGATCTGGTTTTGGCTGCCCTGGTGTAAATGTTGCTGAGGGGAAGGAGAACTGTTCCTGTATTAACCACTAGTGGAAATCCTACAGAATCTCTGAAGGCAAACAGGAGGGTGGTGAAGGTCCCCAAAGGCACATCCAAATACCAGGCTGCCTGGATTGTGGATGATGGAGAAGAAGGAAGTGAGAAAGATGATGATGATGATGATGATGACGACGAAGATGACGACATGGATGATCTGATGGAAGAGGCAGTTTCTCAGGTACCTCCAAGAGCTGATAGTACAAGTGCTCTCCAGGCCATTACTGCATGCTCTAGAAAGATTCTGTCCTTCCAGCTTGCTTTGTCTGTGCAAGGGCATGATGCAGAGCCAGGACTTGCCTGGATCTCTGCTCTTAAATCCCACATGTATTATGTTGCTTCTTTGGCCTGTTAGACCCCAAAATGATGGGCTGGGGTCCTAAATCCCACAATGTGAGCACACCCAGGGTGCCAGTGCTGCATGCACAGCTCTGTGTGCTCACAGGCTCTGTGCTGCCCTGTGCCAGGAGGGGGAGAGCAGTGAGGAGGAAGCTGGGGAGGAGGAGAGTGAGACCATGACCGTGTCTGAGTGCCTGCGGGATGATCAGTACGATGAGAAGATGGAGGAGGACGAGCAGATGCTGGAGAGATACAAGCAGGAGAGAATGGATGAGATGTTTCCAGATGAGGTGGACACGCCACGGGATGTGCCTGCCAGAGTCAGGTAAGAAATGGGATGCTCTGCTGGGAGAGGAACTGGAAGGTGCCTTTCTGTTTAGTTTGGTGAGGAAGCCTGTGATGTCTTAGCCGTGGTGTCTGAACCTGGCTGAAGGACTCTTGTGAAGATTCTTTCTGGCTCTGAGGCTTCCAGAGCAGGCACTAGTTGGCAGGGAGAGCTGGGTCCTGACCTGGGAGAGGGAGGAGGATGGCCCTGAGGCAAGGACAGGTTGTTTGGAGATTTGGCTGCTGGTTTTAGCTCTTTTTGCACCTTTCCTGAAGGCTAATGTTTGCTTTGCACTCTTTGTCCTCCCTGAGGGTGTGAGACCCTGCAGACCACAAGTGGTGGTGAAGGATGGGATTCACCTCAGTTGGTGAAGTAATTTGTCTTTCCTGCTCTCTGATCTCAAGGTTCCAGAAGTACAGGGGGCTAAAAAGCTTCCGGACTTCTCCTTGGGACCCCAAAGAGAATCTTCCAAGGGATTATGCCAGGATCTTCCAGTTCCAGGACTTCTCCCGAACCAGAAAGAATCTCTTCAGGCAAATAGAGAAGGAGGAGACTGAAGGAGCTTCGGTAATTCCCTTTTGCTGATCTCTTTCCCTGTTGTGTTCCTTTGCTCCCAATAGGAGTGACTTATCAGGGGAGGTGGTTGGGTGGATCTTTCAGCCAGCTGGTTCTTAGCAGGAAGCTCTAAGTTCAGACAGTTTTCTCCTGGATTCCCTCCCTAATCCAGGCACATCTTCTGACACTTTTTTTTCATTGTTGAGAGAAGTGTTCACAACTGCTCCTGTCTTGGCAGGTGGGCTGGTACGTTACACTTCATGTCTGCAACGTCCCTGTCTCGGTGATGGAGAGCTTCAAGGAGGGGAAACCCCTGGTCCTGTTCTCACTGCTCCCCCACGAACAAAAGGTGAACATAAGGGATAAACCTTGGAGGGATGTGCAGCTCCCTGTTCCTTCAGACTGCATGGCTTGGGGAGGTCTGGCTGCACAGGGTTTGGGCTGAAATCTCCCCACGTAGCTCCTGTTTCAGAGCAGGTCAGAGCACACAAAAACTGCCTGGGGGGTTTAGGATAAAGTGTCTGAGCCTGGCACTGCTGACTAGTGACCTTTTGGGACCCCGTTTTCGAGGGCATTCATCTCTGCTGCAATGTCCTGTTGTTTTCTGCTGCCCACCACTCCCTGCCAGCAGTCCCTCACTGTGCTGCTTCTTCCAGATGTCCGTGTTGAACTTCCTGGTGCGTCGGCACCCGGGCAACAGCGAGCCAGTGAGGGCCAAGGAGGAGCTGATCTTCCACTGCGGGTTCAGACGCTTCCGAGCATCCCCCCTGTTCTCCCAACACACCTCAGGTTTGGCAGGGACTGGCTACAGCAGCAGTGGGGCTGGGAATTCTGGAGCAGGAAGCCTGTGATGTCTTAGCCGTGGTGTCTGAACCTGTCTGAAGTATTCTTGTGAAGACTCACTCCTAGGCTCTGAGGCTTCCAGGGCAGGCACTAAATCATGGGGAGTAGAATGTCTTGGGAAAGGTGGTTCACTGATCCAGGCAAGGTGCAGGTTCCATGCCAGAAGATCACCTTCATTCCCAGATACTCAGTGCCAGCAGAGGAGGGGTGTTTGTTGAACAGGGAAGATGAGCTCTGGGGTTTCTCACAGCTCTGAGGACTGCTCTTGGCCTGAACTTGATCATTGCTGCTCTGTCCTAGCTGATAAGCATAAGCTGGAGCGTTTCCTGCGCCCAGATGCTGCCCTGGTGGTGACTGTCTACGCTCCCATCACTTTCCCTCCTGCCTCAGTGCTGCTTTTCAAACAGAGAAGCAATGGTGAGTTGATAAATGCTGAGGAGGTGGTGTCTGGGAAACAAACTATCCCCATACCCTGCTTACAAGTGCATCTCTCCAGAAAGTATGACTTGAAACAGCTGTTCCCTTCCTGCTGTTAGGGATGAGCTCATCTCCATCCCTGCTGTCACTTGTGTGTCCCTGCTGTGGGCCTGACACTCTTTGGGGAGGGGGTTTGTGGTGGGGAAGGGGTGATGGAGGCACCTGCCCTGGTGCATTGGTGGCTTTGCCTGGCAGGAATGCACGACCTCATTGCCACGGGCTCCCTGCTCTCCGTGGACCCCGACAGGATCGTCATCAAGCGCCTGGTGCTCAGTGGCCACCCCTTCAAGATCTTCACCAAGATGGCTGTCGTGCGATACATGTTCTTCAACAGAGGTACAGCTGGTCTCTGCTGGGAGGAGGGGTTCTGGAAGTTCTGTCCCTGTGGTTATGTTGGTGCAGCACAGCCTGTTCCTTACCTGCCTTTTGTGTTTCCATCTCTAGAGGATGTGATGTGGTTCAAGCCCGTGGAGCTGAGGACAAAGTGGGGACGCAGAGGGCACATCAAGGAGCCACTAGGTAGGTTTGGTGTGTTGCTGGCATGGTGTTATCCTGTGCCTGAGAGACTGCTAATGGCCTCTTCTGCCCTCTGCCTAGGGACCCATGGCCACATGAAGTGCCACTTTGATGGGCAGCTCAAGTCCCAGGACACGGTGCTGCTGAACCTCTACAAGCGTGTTTTTCCCAAATGGACTTATGACCCTCATGTCCCGGAGCCTGTGCCGTGGGTGAGGAGTGAGAGTGTGCTGCCAGAGCGGGAGGTGGAGATGGAATGAGTCTCCAGCGTGGCTGGAGTTTGTGCCTTGGCTCCCTGGATGCTGTTCTTGGCCCGTGCACTGTGAGGACAGCACTGATGCCTTGGATGTGTTACTGCTGGGGTCTGTACAGGGGCAGCTGCTGCTCAGGTACCAGCTACAGCTATTTATTTTAATGGAAAATGTCAAAAATGCCTAAGTGCCTCTGTCGTGGTGCTGGCCAGGAGGCTGTGTCCGCCCTTGTCCCACTGGGATTGTTTCATGCCCTGCCACGTGTGGTGTGCAGGGATTTTGCTGTGTGGAGGAGTTTGCTGGCAGTTCCTGTGATGCTGAGAAAGAAGAGCCAAGTAGCAGCTGGGGAGGGTGACTGAGTGCAGCTCTCTGGAGGCCTGGGCCAGAGCAAGGCAGCTGGGGAGGGGAGAACAGGCGGTGCTTTGTTTCCAGCCCCCCCACAGAGACCAATGCCAGCTTCCCTTCTCCCTCCACAAAAACTCCCAAATGTTTGAACTTGATCTGTTTTTAGTTGCACATAAACCGCTGCACAAATGCAGAGTGACATTTTCATTCCGTGAAACGCCACTCCATCCTCATTCTGCTGCTTTCCCAGAGAGGTCTGTGAGCCAGGTCAGGGATCTCAGGTCCACGTTTCCCCCGCACAGCACGATGCAAACGTTCTGCACGTCCCAGGGGACTGCCTGGAACTGCTCCGAGAGCACGGCTGCCAGTCCCACGCCTGCTGTTGGCTCAATCAGCAGCTTCATCCTTTCCCACACCAGCCACGTGGCTCGCTGTTGGGACAGGGCAGCAGCTGTCAGCCCAGCAGCCAGCACAGGCTGCTCCAGGGCATCCCTGCAGCACTCTGGGAAGGGAGGGCAGCGCTCCCAACAGCCCTTTCCAGCTGGAGACAGCGTGGGTGTCACAGCTGCAGGGGTGCACAGGGGCTTGTGCTGCTCTGGGAGTGTGTTGGGGTGAGAGCAGAGGGGCAGGGCGGGGGTGGAGGCAGCTGCCTGCTGGCAGCTACCGTGAGAAGGGAGCTGGGAGCCTTTACCTTGATTTCTTCCTCTGAGACTGTCAGGACATCATCAACCAAATCCCTGATGATGGGCCATGTGTTGGGTCCGATGCTGGTTTTGACTGCGTCTGCGATGGTGTCCCGCGGGTGGAGGTTGGGGGTCAGCTCCCCTCGGAGCTTGGACTGGTAGCAGTCATCCACGTTGCTTGGCTCAGCAGCAAACACCTTCACATCTGGCCTCAAAGCCTGGGGGGAGCAGGAGGAACCACCTGGGTGACACCAGTGTGTGCCCGTCCCGTTTCTGTGTGGGCAGGGGGCTAGGCAGGCCCTGCTGCTGCTGCTGCCATGCAGACCCCAGGCACCCAGAGACTTCCACTGCAGAGTCATTCTGCTTAAAGCTGCTGTCTGCCTTGAGAGTCCTGCCCTTCCCACAGGGAGGTTACTGGATGAGCTGTTGCCTACCTTGATGGCGACTGCTATTCCTGCAACCATTCCTCCACCTCCAACAGGAACCACCACTGCATTTACCTGGGGTGCCTGTGCAGAAAGGAAATGTGAGGGCTTCTGACACTTTGTGTCCCCCCTTTTTGCTGTGCCCCTGCAGGGGCTGGGCTGTGCATTTCCCTCACCTGCTCCAGCACCTCCAGGGCGATGGTGCCTTGCCCTGCAATCACTGCCAGCTCCTGATTGGGGTGCACCAGGACTCCTCCTGTCTCCTGGACTACAGTGGATGCTGTCTCGGCTCTGGACTAAGGGAAGGCACAGAGGTCACCTCTCACTCTGCCTGGGCAGTATCCCTGGGCAGCCTCTGCTGTGCCTTACCTTGTCATTTGGATCACATGGCACCAGTGTGGCACCGTAGGCACGAATGGCATCTTGCTTACACCGTGGGGCAGTCCGGGGCACCACGATGTAGGCAGGAATACCTGTGGGATGAGAGAGGAAGTCAACCCAAAAGTCACAGCGGCCAGTTCAAACTGCAGGAGCAGGCAATGCCTTACCTATGGATTCAGGAGAGGGATCTCCATCCTCCCCAGCGGAACCAGCTGTGCATTACCAGCTGTGCATTTCCCCGGTGCCTGCCCCTCGGAGCTGGGGGAGGTCGGGGGCACAGGTTACCTTCTTCCCGAGCAGCACAGGCGAGTGCCTGCCCGTGGTTGCCGCTGCTGTGTGTCACCACGGCGCGGGGCGGCTCCCGCCCGCTGCGCTGCCTTTCCTCCGCCAGGCTCCTCACCGCGTTCAGCGCGCCGCGCATCTGCAGGGAGAGCTGTGTGTGCAGGGCCGGGTGTCCCCCGTGCACCGCCCACCCCTCAGCCCCGGGCAGCACCCACGCAGGAGCTGCTGGCTGCTGGACCGCGCGTTTCCCTCTTGCAAAAAGCGACCCTTGCCCCGCGCCTTTGCGCTGCCGCCGTCCCCGCGCACCTTGAAGGACCCGGTCTTCTGCAGGAGCTCGCACTTGAAGAGCAGCCTCCTGCCGGCCATGCGGTCCAGCGCGGCGCAGGTGAGCAGCGGCGTGCGATGGATGCGGCCCCGCAGCCGCCGCTCCGCGTCCCGCACCTCGCCCAGCCCCAGCGGCAGCGCCGCCATCGGAGCGGCCGGCGGAGCGGCGCCTGCGCGCGGCCGCGCCGGCGGAGGTTTGTCCCTGCGCGGCCGCCGTCGGCGCCGCCCGCCCCCCCGGCGCAGCCAAGATGGCGGAGGGGCTGGAGCGCGTCCGCGTCTCGGCCGCCGAGCTGCGGGACATGGTGGCGGCGCAGGCCCGCGCGGCCGGCGGCGGGCGAGGTGAGGGGCGCCGGGGCACTCGCCGCCCGCTGCTGGGCCGCGCCTTTGCTGCAGAGGCGCTGCCCGCGGCCGCGCTGCTCGGCTGCGCCTGGGGTAGGGCTTGGGGCAGCGCTGCCGCCACACCGGCGCCGGCACGGGGCTGTCCGGGGTGGGAGCGCACGGCCGGAGCCAAGCCCAGAACGGGGAGGCTGCGCGGCGGGCGGCGGCGGCTTTGCCCCGGGATGCTCGGTCCCAGCCCCTCGGGGTCCTCCGGGCCGAGCCCCCGGTGCCGGCGGAGGTTCGGGGCTGCGGCCGGTGCGCGGTACTGACAGGAGAAAGTTTAGGGAATGCTGCGGGGAACAGCCCGGCTCTGGTGGGTCGTTTAACCGTGCGTGGTGCGGCCTGGGCTCTGTAACGATTTTTTTTTTTTTTTGTAAATACGGTTAAAGAAGGAGGAGAGAAACGTTACCGGATTGTGAGCACGGGGAAAGAAAGGCGTCTTTGACTCCAGACGCTGCTGGGGATGGCAGCTCCTGCGCCAACAGCAGGCAGGTGGCTGCTGCTGAACTGCTGAACCTGTGGTGATCCAACTTTACTCCTTGTGCTCAAGTCTGGTGTTGTGCTTTGAGGAAAACCTGTTGCAGGACGGGATTTGTAAATGGATGGGGCCAAGGATTTGGTCAGTTGTGTTACACTGTCTCATTTTCTACTTTATTCTGTGATTTCCCGTAAATACTGACTAAATAGATTTTCAGATCTCTCCTGGACATGCCCTGAGGGTGGCAGGCTCTTTGCCTTGGCTTGAATATTTGTCATGGTATTTTTTGGTCCCTGGGGATAACTTTCTTCTGTTTTCCCCCAGAAAACATGAAGGAGGTGAAGGAGCCGAGGCACCGCAAAGACAACAGGCGCCCAGACCAGGAGATTTACAAACCTGGTCTCTCCAGACTGAGGGGCAAACTTGTGTCACCAAAGCAAGAGGCCTCAGAGAAGGAAAGGAGCAGAGCTGAGGAGGACAAGGAGGAGAGAGCTGGGGACAAGGACTCTGTGGGAATAGGAACTCCAGCTGTGGAAGACTGTGACAGAAGCAATGGCCCCAAGCAGAACGGTCCTTCACAGGACAAGGAAGAAACAGAGACCAAAGGCAGCCTGCAAAGCCAGGAAAACTCATCCAAGCAGCCTATTGTGGATGAGTGGTGTCCAAAGACCCCCAGGAGAACCAAGAAACCAGACCAACAGATCTACCAGCCTGGGAAACGCCTGCACTCCGCAGCTAAAGAACCCTCCCTGGCCAGCGAGGAAATCACCGGGAGGATGGAGCAGCTGAAAGTCGAGGGAGGTGAAGAGACTGAGAAAAGCACTGGGAAAGACAACAACAGGAAAATTAAATCGAGCAAGGAGGATAGAGAGGGGAGCCAGGCAGGGGAAGCAGTGAAAGCCTCCAGGGGAGATAAAGGGAGACGAGCAGAGCGAAGTGAGAGGCTGAGGAGGGTGGGGGATGAGGTGCTGCCGGGGAAGCTGGGCTCCACCAAGCGCTATTCCCGCACGGACAAGCGGCGCAGCCGGTACCGCACCTGCAGCACCAGCTCAGCCGGGAGCAGCAACAGCACGGACGGAGCCCTGCTCGTGGATGGTGTGGAGAGGAGGCAGGAGCGTGCCAGGGAGAGGCTACGTCCTAGGAAGCAGCTCTCCGTGTCCTCCACAGACTCCTTGGACGATGACAGGATTGATGAGGCCGAGGTGTACGTCTCCAGCAGGACCTCGGACAGGAGGAGGCATTCGGAGCAGAGCCGAGCTTCCAGGAGCGAGAGCGAATGGAGCAGCAACGGCAGGGAAGTCAAGGGACCCTTTCGAGTGACATTTGACAGCAGGACCATGAACAGGGACGTCAGCCTGGCAGATACAGATAAAAAAAAGTCCCTGAAGGCCTTAGAGGTTTCAGAGACGAGGAGTCAGAGCAGGGAGCCTCAAGGGAGGGGCCGTGGGATCCTGTTCCTGCCTGCCAACACGGACCTCTCTGCCAGCTCAGGGGGTGTCCCTGAAGCCACTCACCCCGGGCCCAGGCTCCTGCTGGGCGGGGCTGGCAGCAAAGGCCCCCGGAGCCGGGGCCGAGGTGGCACTGCCCGCCGGCTGTGGGACCCAAACAACCCGGACCAAAAACCCGCCCTGAAGAGCCAGACTGCTCAGCTTCACTTCCTAGACACGGATGATGAAGTGAGCCCCACCTCCTGGGGGGAAGCCCGCCAGGCCCAACCCTCCTACTATAAATTCCAAAACTCTGACAACCCTTATTATTACCCTCGTGCCTCCGGGCAAGGCCCCCAGTATCCCTATGGTGGCTATTCCCTGCAGTATCCTATGGGTCCAACCAACGGGGTGTACCCAGGAGCCTATTACCCCGGGTACTCTGGCCAGGCAGGGCAGTACCTGTGTGGCCCACTCACCAATACTCTGGGCCCCGACACGGAGCAGCAGATGAGGAACTTCCATCAGCAGGAGCTCAGCAAACTCCTGCGTGAGGCTGGGAACCAGGAGCAGCAGCTCAGCAACCTCCTGTCCAGAGACCGCATCAGTCCCGAGGGGCTGGAGAAGATGGCCCAGCTGAGGTTTGTGGGTGGGCTGTAGAGGGGGGAGTGAGTAATTTCCAGGGTGGAATTCAGGATAATTGTGTCTCCTTGAGGATCTCTGTGTCTCGGTGGCTGGGAGATGTGGCGCTGGGTTTTTGATGTGCTGGGTCTGTTTGTTGTGTGCCAGTGGTGTGTGGGTGGTGGAAGGAAGCTGTGGGTGAGGATGGATGTCACTTTCCTGGGCTGGCTAAACCGTGGCTTCTTGTGCTTGGTGAAAGCCTTGCAGGGACACAGAGGAGTAGGACAAGCACCTCCTGCAGATTTTTGGCTCTTGCTGGAGCTGATATTTCTCAGTTCCAGTGCTCTCAGTGTTTGTTGTCAGACTTTCGCTTTCTTACCTGTCCTTAGTGTTTGCTCAGGAATAATTTTGTGTGTTCCTGGTGCTGTCAGTGGCAGTGCCTTTCCAGTGCTGTGTAGTTTTGCTCTTGATGCCACTCAGCGTGGTGACACTCCAGTGGGAGTAGCCTGGTGATGCCAGTCTGTCAGGAGAGAAGTAACACTCTTACCCTGGGGGTGGTTAATATGGCTGTAACAAGTTTCTACTTGGCATCTTTCACGTTTATTTGTGATCTCTGTGTCTGCAGGGCTTCTCTGGAGGCTGTTTTTCAGAGCTGACTGACAGCAAATCTAGCAAGCAAGCTCATTTCGGGGCTTGTTCTTTGTTTTGGGTACTTGCTCAACAGACCACAGTGTGGAATATGTCTGCAACTGAAGCAGCACTCGAGGTTTCAGGTCTTCCTCGAGGAGCTAAGGTCTCCCAGAGCTGTTGTGTGGAGGGAAAGCACTGGAGTGCTGCTGTGGCCTGTGGAAGCCCATCCTGCCCTGGGAATGTGGGCACAGTTGACCCTGTCCTTGCTGGCAGTGCCACTTGTGTCCTGGCTGTGTCCAAGTGCCTGCTGCCAGCTGTGTTGGGACTTTTACCCGACATCCATCTGCAGAAATGTCCAGTTCCCTTGGTGTTTGTGCTGTCCAGGTGTGTATGCAGGGTTTGGGGACTCTGTGGGGTCAGGCAGCCCATCCTGGCTCTGTGCTTTGTGCAAGAACCCACCAGCATTCTTCTCTTATCCTATCAGGCTCTTCCAGGCATTGCCATCTGGCTTCGTTCCAGGCTTTACCATCCACGTGCTCCTACTGTTTCTGTAGGACTTGAAACATTATAAGGAATAAGGCAGGAACAGCTGAGGATCCCCTTTAACTTGCCCCACATGTTTCAGAGCTGCTCCTAGCCTGCAGCTGTTTTATTAAATTTGGGGGAGGAATTCTGCTCCAGCATCCAGGCAGGGCTGTAGGCAGCTGAGAAGGGGAATGTGATTTCTGGGACTCTGAGGTTTCATTTTCATTGTTCCCAACTCGTTCATTTTTGAGGAAGCAGGGTCTGTCTCTGCTGTGTACGTTGGTTGGCTGGAAGGGGAGTGGGGATCATTTTAATGGCAAGGTCTCTGTTGGCCTGTGGTTGTGTTCTGTGTTCAGACCTTGTGCTCAGAAGGAGCAGAGCCTGGCAGTGTGTGTGTTCTCTGTGTTGGACCAGGAGACACTTGTGCCTTGCTGTTGGCAGAGCTGTAGCCTTGCTCTTTGCCAAGCCTTGATCCATTCTCGGTCACCTGTACGAGGGAGATGCTCCTTTTGGATTTGCCCTCTTGGAGCAGGAAGGGTGTTAGATTGCAGCAGCTCCCATCTCCCGGGGGGATGTGTGTGGAAGCACTGAGTGCTGCTGGCAGCTGGATGTGAGCAGCAGGTGGTTCAGCACGTGTTCCCTGTGTTCCTGGGCAGCTGCTGTTGCACTGACCCTTCCCTGACTGTGTTTTGCTGTAGGCTGGAGATGCTGCAGCTCTATGAACGGTGCATCCTCATGGATATTGAGTTCTCTGACACTCAGAACGTGGACCAGTTGCTGTGGAAAAATGCTTTTTACCAGGTGATTGAGAAATTCCGGCAGCTCCTCAAGGACCCTCAGGGGGAAAATGCCCAAGAAATTCGGAACAAACTGCTCTTGCTTCTAGATGAGGTAAGAAGAGAGAAACATCCCCAGATTTCACTAAACCTTTGGGTGGGATTGACTGGTTTTTAGAAAGGGATGGTGTAATGGGCAACTGGTCATCTTGATATTCATGTCTCCCTGTGCCTTGGGTCATCATTATGCAAAGAGGATGCTCAGGCACATTATGGTTTAGTGGGCAAGGTGTAGGTTGAGGTAGACATCTGTTACAATTTAAA